ACCGGCGTGCTTTGGACCCTATGGTTCGAGTTTCGAGCCCTGCCACCGCCACCCGACTTTGGTGGTAGGCAGCTCGGCTGTCGTCCGGTTCAATACAACGCCTAACCTATCGGGGCCTTATCTGGTTCGCCACTCCAAGTCCCGGGGCTTGGGTTGCCGGTTTCCACCACTTAACAGCAGGTCCTCGTGACTATAGTGCTCACCCCATCTGCTGTTCATCACACGTAGGTGCGTAATTTTAAAAAAAATTTCAACTTTACTTTACCATACCGGATGTTTTACACAAGCAGTTCACCTTGCTTTAAACCACCTGGTGATGAAGGTATCCAGGTATGATATGTGCTTCGCACCATCCAAGTGCACAATTCTTGTTCGGCACTGGTAGAAGTCTGTCTGAACTTTCCCTTAGTACTGATCAGCTACAAGACAAAACAGGATGACGAGGTTCATCGTACTGTGTAGAATGCGGAAGATCGTTCTCTAAAAGGAGCAAATGCTCTACACCGCCTCCGATGACTCACAGAAAAGCCACAGGAAACGAACGTCCACAATATTATATGAACGATAATTGCCAATCGACCTTCGAAGCGGAACTCTCTGGTCACTTTTCAGCTCAACCATCAGCCAAAAGAGTCAGTGAACATTAGACGGCGATCCAAATATCAATCAAAACAACGATGGATTCTGGAGTACGATCAAGGAAAAATGATGGATCTCCTCGACCTCGGCTACCTTGCTGGACGCTCGGAAAGCCATTCCTTTCGGTGGGAAATACGACAAGGCACGCAAACCCCTTAAACATCGGCTCATCAAGAGCTTGAGGAATGAACGTAATAAGTACCGGATAAAGAAGTCTAAAGATTTGGTGAAGGCTGTGGCTATCCGTAATAGTTGCAATAATTTTCACCTAATTGGGATTACAGACTTAAGGAAAGTAGACCTGAGGTAATTAGGGAATCTGATGGTGCTCTGGTTATTATTCATCAACGCCGTCTTGAACGATGGGCAGAACATGTGGAGGAACACTCCAACCGGTTCCGGTCGACACAAAATACTTGCTTTAGCCGGGTAAATACTATCAGCAGATATCAGTCCTACATCAGAACATGGAGAACGGTAAAATATCATGAAGTTTATGAAACCTTGAAGGAAACTCTCCACGCAGCTTATCGATGGTCCATCATTATTGACATCGAATTCAACGTTGAAAAATGCAAGGTTGTATCGCTGCATCACAGTCATCGCTTTCCATACTTACTTGGAACTCAGCCACTGCCGCGTTCTCCAAACGAAAAGGACCTGGGAGTTATCGTTCGTGACGATCTAGGATGTTCCACACATTTCGCAAGAGCGCCATCAAAGTCTATAAAACAAGTTAGATTGCTAAAACGTGCTTTTGGATCATTCGAAACAAACCTACTGCCCCGTTTATTATCAATATACAACAGACAACACACCGAGTATGCTATACAGGCTTGGAATCCATGGCTGATTCGCGACCAAAAGGCACTCGAACGTCCGCATAGAACAGCAACCAAGATGGTGAAAGGCTGTGAATTCTCGGACTCTATTCGTCTGAATACCGTCAAATACGGGGAGACATGATACTCATTTATCAAATACTACAGTAACCTAACCACCCGTGTAGTATTCTACTAACACTATCCAGGAATGGTCACCTCGGAGGACATCCGTTTAAACTTCTGCTCCAAAAGAGCCGGCTAGACTGTAGGCGTCATTCTTTCGGCCTCAGAATTTATAACACCTGGAACTCTCTTCCACCTCAAGTTGTTTGTGCACCAACCATCGACTCATTCAAGTCACGACTGGATGAAGCATTGAACTCCACCTAACTTTTCAGTACGCGCGAGTGAACGCCAGAATTTGCTATGTGATTGTACTACCAACCGTATCTAGTGTGTACAGACCCTATGGGATTCAATAAGCATCAGCTTTGTAATTTACCCACAATAAAAATTTGAATTTGAATCCATAAGTGCCGCTTACCCGGGAAATGAATTACCATAGAAGGTATGAGGTTTTCGGCCCGGAAGGACTGACTCTATCGGATTTAAGGGTGGTGGTTCAGCTTTTGTTTCGGAATTGAGGAAACCACTGTGTTCAATATGAGAGAAGGAACACCTCCCAATTGAATGGTGTAAATCAATCATCATTCCGATTTCTTGTAAATTACTTTACTCTGCAGTCTCCAAGCTTCTCGCCGGTGATATACTCCTGCCGAACGTGAACCAAGCTGGTTATAGATCTGCTCGAGGTTGTATAGACCAAATTTTCACCCTTCGATAAATTTTAGAACACAAAAACTCCTTTTGTAGACCGATCATTTCTATCTTCCTCAAACTGAAAGCGGGTTTCGATTTAGTAGACCGCTCTAAACTCTGATGCAACTTTTCTTTCAAGGTTGGGTCCGAGAATTTCGCTTCAATACTGCAATCCATCGATATTATTAACCAAAACCGAGTCCGAGCTTACGGCACTTTTCACCCGAGTTCACCATGGAAAGTAGTGATCTTTATGGTTGCTATCTCTCCGTTTCTACTTAACTTCGTGACAGATTTAATTCTTGAAACATAGTGGTATCGATTTGCCTCGGGGGTAGACAGTCTGATCTGAAGTATGCAGACAAGATTAAGCTACTACGTAAAGATCCAAGTAAATGGCAAGCTTTTCTGGATACTTTCAGAGCTAGTGTACTGTTTGGCTTGCGAAACGTTGCTTAAAGATTGGGTTGGTCCAGCCATTAGCTTCACTCTAACTGGGAAGGTAGTACAGGAAGTAGACAAATGTTCAGTTGGGGAGCTATATCTCACCTGGTGGATGCGTCACAGATGAAGCGTCAGCATGTATAGAGAAGACTCGATTGGCATTTGCCAACTTCAGACATCTGAGGTGCCGTCGCGACATCCGGTTGGCTGTGAAGGGTCGAGTACATATTGCAGTAGTTAGGCCGGTCCTGCTCTACAGTGCAGAGACATGGTCATTACGAAAACACGATAAAGATGACGTTCGCATTGCACGGGGAAACCGGGCAAGCAATGCTGAGCTTAGGTGCAGAATTTTAGGTAATCAAGTTCGTCCACTGGAACAACTGGTCGACCTCCATTGACTACGCTGATCGGGACACCTATGGCGTGTCACCAAATAGGTTGCCACGACGAGCGATGTTTGCCGAGGCATGCAGCAGATGGAAAACGCTCAAGTGTGGGCGAGCTAAGACCTAGCCCGAGGGTGCGAAAACCTTACCCGGGAGACCGAGTCACATAAGTACCGTTAGGCTTCCTGGATGAGGACCCCGAAATCATGGTAACCGGTCGTTAGAGAAACTCAACGATATGGCTGGGTGTCGCAAACAGCGTCGCTCGTGCATCTACTCATTATTTTGCAACCCCAGTCGGTATAAATTGTCTTCTCCTTGCTTCTGCTCTCAAACTTTCAATCTTAAATCTGCTCTGTTTATCCACAGGGGCGTGTGTAACAAAAATAAGGTTTGAAACATCATGATCGGGTATACTTGCTGTGCTTTATTTCAGTTATGCGTGACTGGTTGACACAAGTGTTCGATGTGCATGACGATGTCGCGTGCGTGAACTGTCCCACTACAAGTTGCGTAGATTTTCGGTATTATGCTAATCAAAAGTAACATATGGCAAGACAAAGTGTTTCAAAACCACCTTTTTCTTATGAAGTGGTAGCGCTTCAACCCTCTGGGTCACTAAAACATTGACTCAACGGTAATCAGTACGGATCCCATCTACGCTACCACATGAATTATTGTTCCCTCATAGACCTTGATTCATCAAAATCCCTCTTCGCAAAGCTCAATGAACAATTATTTGTCAAATATATGAAGGTAAGGTCCCAAGAGCCTCAACCGCTCCACAAGTAGTAACTTACCACATGCAACCACGAAGGTAGTTATCGGAAGAATGCGTTGGAGGCCGCAGTTGATAATCTTTCTCCGCATAGGCCAGAAGCTTTGGTGAGGAATGAAGCCAGTCAACCCGGGTCAAAGGAACTGCATCAGCCACAACGTCTGTCACCTCATCATGAAGTGAGGCACAGTCTGTTTCTGTTACGTGATCTCCGGTAACTGACACAGAACCGGAATCATCTGTCGGTACAAAATCTGGCGCACTAGCTTCTTCAGTGGAAGATGAAGGAAGCTCAACGGTAGATGACGGATTTGATCGAATCAGATTGAACGCATCTGTAATAGACAAGTCGTTGGATTTCACAGCGGCTGTGTCTGTTTTCAAGCAGTTCTCAAAAAGCTTCGAGGGTAGCGTCACATCTGAGACACAATTCTCGACTTCTGGTGTTTGTCTGACTATACCAGTATCGAATGCAGTTGCATTGCTGGGAGATTCGGTTTGGAGATTCTCACTCAACATAAAGGACAGTAGCTGAAAAAGTAGGCAACCATTGGGGTACAGTAAACAAACAACGAAGAAAGACAGCTCTGAGAAAAGCAGATGCGCTGATAGGTGTGTATTTGAGTGACGACGGAGGAGATCAAGATACACGCTTAACTGAAAGACAGTGGGGCTATTATGAAGACTAGAAACAATGGGTGCAAGGAGCGAAATGATGTTTTCTAGTCCAATTTTACTGTAAATGAGGATCCACAAGAACATCCTTTCTCTGCAACCGGATTTTTGGAAATTCGAAATCCCGTACGTATGAGTTCTTCCTCGTAATCCAAAGTAGCACCTTTCAAAAAACTTACAGACGCTTCGTCCACAAGCACTTGCACACCAGATTTTTCAACGATGCTATGATGATCATTTAAAAAGAATGAGAGAACAATTCCACTTCTTTCCTTACATATCGCTTGAAGTTGGAGCAGGAGCAATCTCGAACTTGTACTGAAAACCGGAACAACCACCACTGTCAACGATCACTCGTAGTAGGCCAGTTAGTTGGCCTATTTCTCGAAGTCGCTAAAAGACGGATTAGTGTAGACATGGAGTATTACTTTGATACACCCCTCACTCAGGTGGAGAACCGGTTCATCCGTAGAGTTCTGTGCACTGCCCTGATGTGCACTGGCGAATTTTTTCACACCGGTAGCTTGCAAAAGTGTGCGACGTAACGGGCCGAGTTTAAGCATAGCAGATCTGAAAAAGTGTGATAGGAAACTTCATCTTGACAATCGTATAGCACACGATGAAAATGACTTATCGGGATAGATACGTCAATACTTGACGATACGGAGTCGATAAAACTACGGTGGTGTAGATTTATTATTATTCTTTCTATTCCCTAGATTGCTGTTATTCTGGGAGCATATTCTAACACTTCGCTTGTCCCGTTTTAGCTCTTATAGCTTGTTTTGGTCGATTAAAGCCTATTATTAAAGCGTTGTCTTCTGGATTGTCTGCCGACCAAACGTGTGATCTGCTACAAACGTTTTCACCAATCATATAATCAACTCCGTAACATACGGTAAATCACAATGCTACCCGTAATCCTAGAACCTTTACCTCGGTTTTTCAAGTTGAGAGTGCATATTTACTTACTTTTTTACTTTACTACAGCTGGCTCCTTGGAAAGGATAAGCCGACTCCATGAATGTCTCTGATGGCCGCTATCCACGCTTGGCGGTTGGCTGCAAGATCCTTGCAAATGCTNTGGTCGAAGTCTTCGAATACGATGTTCAGTAAGGTTTTTCGTTGCCCACATTGTCGGCGGCGCCAGCCAACATACGGTGTCGGAGCCAAGATAATACTCCTAAAGGTGCGGTCGGGTCTGCAGAGAACACGGCCCAGCCATAGCAGTCGGTGGCGTTGTATGTGTGTTGAGGGACGGCCAACGTGGCATCGATTTCTGAGGTCCGAGTTTGAGACCCTGTCCCGTCAGTTTACTTTCAGGATGAATCAAAGACACCAGTGGTGGAAGACCTCCAATCGTCGGATGTTCTCAGCGGCCAGGTTTCTCAGCCGTAGGGCAGGACTGGTCGCTTTACTGTACTTCGCTGTACGGTGAGGACTAGTCGAACTGCTGTGGCAAACACCCTGAGCTTGGTTTTGAGGCTGATCTCGTTCCGGCGCCATAGGGTGGTTCGGGGCTGCAGAAATGCCGTTCGGGCCGGGTCAATGTGCCGCTTTACATCATCTTCGGTTTGTCCATTGGGCAGGATGGTGGGCCCAAAGTACTTGAAGTCCGCAACGATTTCTATTGTCCGACCATCCAGTTGCAGAGGATGTTCCCATTGGTCAGGTGGAGTAGCAAACATCTGGGCTTTGTTAGAATTAATATCGAGGCCGATCTCAGTGGCAAGTCTTTTGATACGGTTGAGAGCTGCTTGCAAGGCGGTCGGGCCCTCTCCAATCACTATCACGTCATCGGCGAATTCGAGGTCAGTAATCCAGCAATCCGCGGAAAGTTGAACGCCTTGGTAACCTTCCATTGCCCGACGCAGAATCAAATTAATGGCGAAGATAGCGGGTATCCTTGTCTTACTCCTGACCTCAGACCGAAGAGATGAGACTCTTCGCCGTACGCACGGATACGGGCTTTGGTTTGGGTGTAATACGATCTCACTATATTAACCAACTTTGCAGGGACGCCATCTGCAAGCATTATCTTCCAGTGACTCACAATCCACTGAATCGAATGCGGAGCGAAAGTCAATGAAAAATGTAGCGGTGGGGCGCTGAAACTTGTATCGGTGTTCCAGAATTCACCGTAGGATGAAAATCTGTTCGATACATCCTTTGCCGGGTTGGAAGCCTCCTTGGTTTGACCGCGTACGTGCATGCCTCACTGTAGCAAATCAATTAAGCGCAAGCTGGGTAAACGCTTTTGCAGCCACATCTAGCAGACTGATGCCCCGATAATTCTCGCAGTGTCTTGTCGCCCTTCTTAGGAATAGGAAGCAAGACCGAGGTGTTCCAATCAGTTGGACATGTCTCCCAGAATGAGCGAGAGAGAGTGAAGCGGTTTGATGACCACCGGAAGACATTTCTCAGATATTTCTGCCGGAATTCCGTTTCCACCAGGGGCCTTGCCAGACTTCAAGCGACTGCGGCTATTTCACCTATCGTTGGAGGAGCACAGTCGACCTCGTATGGGGACGCCATATCGGGATGGATATCCGCCGGATTGCCCAGCGGATGACTGTGAAGTCGACTACAATGGTCCACCCATCTGGTCATTCCACCGTCGATATCAAAGATCAGTCCCCCGGTAGAGTCGTGCAGAACGGGTTGTAGAGGCTACCTTCTACCGGACACTGAGCTTATGAGGTGAAAGAGATCTCCAAAGTGGCAAGCACTAGCTGCGGTTTCCATCTTGATCGCTATTTCGCTCCAGTAGTTGCGCCGATCTGCTTTTTCGGAGCGGGTTGCTTTCCGTCTGAGTAGCTGGTACTCGTGGTGGCCAGTTAGACGGGCGTCCTTGGTCAGGGTTGAGCGATGGATAGTCTCTTTTGATATCCAATCTTTGTAGCGGCGTCTCATGGTACCAAGTTTGTTTAGTGTAGCTTGTCGTACCATAGCTTTTATCCTGGGCCACTGCACATCAGTAGAGTCAGCTACGATGACGGATGGGGTGGACTTATTTGCCAGTCGTGTTTTAATTTCATCCATCAGTGTTTTCATTTCTTGCAACACTCTAATGGGCCCATATTGATGTGATTTGGAGGGGTGGCCTTAGCGCGAGTAATCAGCCGAATGCGAAGTTTCGCACGAACCAGCATGTGATCAGGGCCACCTCTATTGCTAGCTTCGGTACTGCGATACGATCTACAATCTACTGATGAGATCCCGCGTGACCGTATCAAGATATAGTCGATCTGGTGGGCTGTTATACCGTCGTTGGAGTACCAGGTACGAAGATGCTTCCTGGAGTGCTGGAAACGTGTTAGTTATAAATAGGCGGCTAAAATCGGAGAAATTAATTAGCCTGTCACCGATTTTGCAGCGATGGCCTAGTCCGAATTTCCCAATTATGTTTTGTTGCAGGTCTTTGTTCACCTGTTCGAGCATTCCAGTTTCCCACCACGATGAGTACATCTCTCTTGGGAACGCGATCTACTATCTTCTGAAGACTGCCGTAAAACTCATCACTACGCTGTCGGATGGTAGAGTGGGGGCGTAGACTGCTACCACGGCGAGGTTGGTAGGATTACTTTTGAAGCGTACTACAGCGGTCCTTGACGATATTGGTTACCAAGAAAGTAAGGCAGCGTTAGTACGTTGGCTCAGTGCTAACGCCACTCCCTGTTGACCTGAAATCTCTGAGCTTTTATGGTAAAAATAGTGGTGGCTATCAGAACCAGGAACCTTGATGCTAAGGGAGCCGGCTAATAGTACTTCGTATAAACATGCAAGATCTACGCGGTAGTCATGTAACGCGCGTATAGTCACGGCCTGACTCCCAGTGTCCAAGACGGTTCTCACGTTCCAGTTTCCCACATAGAGGTGCTTTCTAAGGTGCAGAGTGCATACTCATCGCCAGTAATTTATCTACGTGTATGAGATTGTGGATCAGTTTTAAAAAGTTCATGTTACTGTCAACAGATCCATGATAAATTTCCCTCCACAACGTTTTGTTGTACACAAGTCCTTCTTATTACAAATCAGGGGTATTGCGCCCAACAACAGTAAAACATCTGGAAGCCACCATGTACAATGCGTGTGATTGGCTCTGATAATCGCGTGGCAATCATGCGGCCTTTGCGCAATGGTTAACGAATCGAACTCAGGGCACCAACAACTTGGATCGCACTGAGGCCCGGCTGTTTCTACCTGTTTGGTCATTCACTTTGGACACCCAACAGCCCCCCTGTGAGTCAACATAGAACGGAGAGACCCAAGTAACAGGAAGAAACAAAACCAACAACGAACTTGAATCGTCACCAGAAGCCCCTGAATACAGGTCCCTATCCCTACCTGGAGTTGAGTCTTGAATACAAGCCTCCAGACGGCGGGTACAAGGCGTGAAGAACTTGTGCCGGGTCTTTTCGCTAGGTACGTCACGGTGGATGGTATAGAGAACGTCGCCTGCTAGGAAGAAGACAAGGCTTGCCGCGCTTTATTTGCTGTAGCTAATCCGGGCTGGAGGAAACCACATGGAGGTCAACAGATGATGTGGAGACGAGACATGAAGAAATGCACACAGCGATTAGGTACAGTAGGTATCTCTCGTCTTCCAAGTTGGGGTCCGAAAGCCTCCACAACTGGTTGGTTGGGGACATTGAAGGATATGGCAGCGAACCGGCAACAGTGGCGTTCTTGTTGTCGTTTCTTATC